GTTGCCGCGGCCAGGAGCCTGGGGTTCTTGGCCCCAACATCTCTCCTTCGTTTGAGTTGGGCGGGCGTCCTCGTGCGTATGTGCGTTCGCTCGCCCCGCTTTCTCGGCTCTCCGCCGCTGGGGGCTTTCTCGGCTCTCATGGCAGGGCGTTGTCTCGACCGTTGTTCCTCTTGCACAGCCGAGGGCAGTCGGTACGAGATGGCCTTTCAATTTGCAGGACCCCTGCATTTGGGTTTATCTTCGCTTTTGCGCTCGGCGTCCGTTTTTGTTGCCCTGTGTGCCTGCCCCTCCCTTAGAGATGTTGCGGCAGGTGCACATTGTGCTGTCGTCAGGACGCAGAGACCCCTTTGGTCTCGCGAGCTGTTCATTTGCGCTAATGACTCAGACTATTGGTCTGTGTCAGGGAGCCAGCATCCCCCTCCGCTGCTGGCTCTGGCCCTCGGACTTACCCGAGGATGTGGAGGTGTGACGTGGATGTCAACAAAAAACTGGCACCTGGTCGCACGGTGTCGGTGGCATATTCGCGCATAAGGCCGTTTCTTTCCGGTTCCGTGTTGACGTTTTTTGCCGGTTCCGATGTTTTTTACCGGTTCCGTCGCCATCGTTTTACCGGCTCCAGCTCCGGTTCAAATCCTGGAGTTGTTTGTTTGCCGTGTTTGGTCGCCTGTTGTGTTGCCGTTTCCAGGTTCAAGAGACTCTTTTCCGAAACGCTGACAAAAACGGCCCTGCAATTTCCGGGCCCCACTCAGCTCTGGGGCACACTGTCAGGGATTGTGGTTGTCGTGCGGGAACGTTGTGGAGGCCAAATAATCTCCAGATGTCTAAGAAATGATTAAAAGTTGCTTCAAGCATGAAAAACAAACATGTCCTAAACATGTGTTCTTACATGTTTCAGTTATCTTAAACACATTGTTAATTCAACGATCGGATTGTTAAGATTGTTAGGGTATCCATTGCCACGGCATCCACAACGGGAATGGGAAGGTTGCCGTCTCTTTTCGCAGTCCAGGCCAGGCAGCGCCATGTTGCACGGGAGGCCCACGGGGTCTGAGCTGCGGCCTTCGCCTGGCAGGGGTGCGGCTCCCTGTGTACCCGCTCGCAGCGAGGTCTGAACCTTGGCACGTTGCGGTGGCGCCAGCTGCACCCTGATCGTGCACTGCCGCGGAGGGGCGGTGCCAGGCGGCACGGAGGTCCCGTGGGGCATCGTCCGTGCCTGTTCCCAGCCGGGGATCCCGAAGTAGAGCATGCGCAGGATTGTTGAGCTCACCTGGTGCCAGCGCGAACCCCGTCTGCACGGGCCCGCCGGTCGTTTCCCCAAGTTGGCCTTGCTGCTTTTTGAGCATGGATTTTTGGATGCCCTGATCCCAATCTTCTTCAGGCGCCGTCCTACTTCAAGATTCGGGTGGTTTTTTCTTGTTCCTCTTCAGGGGGCGGGCGGAAGCCCAGTTTATTTCCAACGCCTTCCTACTTCATGTTTCTATCTACTCTTTCCGACCGACGTGTGCGGCTTAACACCGTAAACAGGCGGACCATGCCAACGCAGCTTTTGCAGAGGTGGTTGAAACATGGCTGCAGTGGACAGTCGGTGGGCATCGTGCCACTTGGCGACTAGCCCCCTTCTGTGCCCGACGCGACTACCTCGGCAATGCTGCATGACGCATATTGCCCCTGGCGGGAGATCGGTCCCAAGGCTGGTTTTGGCTGGTCTTCCTGCCCGCCTTCCTGCTCGCTCCCCCCTCCCAGTATGAGCCGATCGCCGATCACCGATCGCGCGGCTCAGGGCGCGGCGGCAGGGGGGGAGAGCAGGGGGGAGGGAGAGGGAGGGGAGAGGGGCGGCAGGCGGGAGGGGCGGGGTGGGAAGAGAAAGGGCAGGGCGCCGGGGGTGTGGGAGGTGCGTCTGGGGAAGTGGGGGAGGGAGGAGAAACGGGGCGGGTTGGTCGAGGGGACGTGCGAGGGAGGGGGTCCTGGACGGGGCAGGCAGGGGAGGGCCGGTGGGCACGAGAAGGAGGGTCGGGATTGTGATGATGATGTTGCTGATGATGGTGATGATGTTGATGATGATGATGATGGTGGTGATGATGATGATGCTGATGATGATGATGATGATGATGATGATGGTGGTGGTGGTGGTGGTGATGATGATGATGATGATGATGATGATGATGATGATGATGATGATGATGATGATGATGATGATGATGATGATGATACGGCGCTGGCTGGCGGACGCCGCGCTCCAGAGGCGCGAAGGCGTGCACAGCAGAATTGAGGCGTCGCACGCGACACCCCGATGCTTGAAGACCCCGAGTCTCCCCACCAAAGTTCTCGGAGGCTCGGTCAAACATAGCAAAAACGAGGCCGAACAGCCGACGCGGGGCGCACTCAGGATGGTGCACCTCTCTCGCGCCGCGGCCTAATCGAAGGCGCAGGAAGCGTCAGTCCAAGGCTCCAGACAGGTATGCGGCATCACCTGGGACAGTGCTATGCACTATCCTCCAGGCTGTGCCCCCCTCAAAGCGAGAGGAGTCCACCGAAGCCTTTCCCTGGGACCAGAGGTGTGTGGCGTCACCTGGGACAGCACAGCTCGTGTTATCCTCCAGGCCGTGCCTCCCGCAAGACGCAGGGGGCCCACCGAAGCCACTCCCTCTAGATACCTGCCCATGGACCAGGTGTGCGGCATCACATGGGACGGCACAGCTCGCGCCATCCGCCAGGCTGTGCCCCCCTCCAGGCGAGGGGGGCCCACCGAAGCCACTCCCTGGCCGCTGGGGCCAACGGTCACGACGAGGCGAGCACCCGACGTCATCTGAGGCAGTGCCTAGGCATCCTGTCCAGAGCGGCTCAGCGTGCGTCGGCGCATCATCGTCCACCGTGCTAGGCTTAGGGCGGCAGAGAATATCCAGCAAGCCTTCAGCGCAACACGCCCATCTGTACGCCATGTCACTGAAGAGGTTGCCGCCGCTTGTGGTCTCTGCCGCCGCACCATGATCGAGAGCGGTTATGTAGGCCTCGACGTGGGAAGCAATATCGCCGCTGAGATCCTTGAGACCCGCACGTGCCAATTTGGTGTCATTGACTTGTCGCGCAGCCTTGATTATGCGCCCTCGGGGTCCGACGAGCGGGCGAAGAGCACCATTCCACGGCCGAGCACGAAAAAGACGCCCACGAGGCCCAGGGACTCGACGAGCAAGGGCATCTCGAACATTATATTGAGGCACAACCTTGAAGACGCGCCCAGGAGGTCCAGGGAGTGGCCGAGGAACGCCATGCCAAGGTCGCGGGCCAAAAACTCGCCCACGCGGCCCAGGAACTGGGCGAGGAGGAGCGCCATCAGGGGGTCCATGCACGGCGTCGACACGAGCACCACGACCAGATTGTGGGTACCCTTCGTCGCATCGATGAACGGCCTGAGAGCCATCAGCTGCACCTCCAAGAGGAAAGACATCACGGACTCCGTCACCCGCTTCACGGCGATGGTCACCGAGAAAGCCACAACGTGGGACAGCAGCAGCACGGCCAGCGCGAGCAGTACCAAGAACCGCGGCCCCAGGAACGTCACACGGATGATCCATATCAGCGCCTCTGCCCGACAAGCTCGAGGCAAGGTGGCCGGAGCCATCAATGTCAAGCGAGACGAGAGGACCAGCAGGGTAGTATGCGGCAGCTTGGCTACGAAGGGGCGTGCGCACCGTAGCGGCGGTGCGGATCCGTTGCGCTGCCAAAATGGCCCTTGCGGCCGCGGAGAGGCTGGTGAGCGTCTCCACGGTGTCCATGCGTGGAGCCCCGTCCACAGGCGACGTGTCCGGGTCCCTCGGCTGCAGCAGGGCGACGATGGCGCCCGCCGCTGCCTGCGCATGGCGCGCCGCCGTGCACCGCGCCCTGGCACGGCGACGGGCAGCTCGGGACAGCGAGGCCACACAGGAAGGCGGCACGTGCGCTGTCGACATGAATCGCATCAGCAGCTCCAGGCGAGGCCAGGGGCAGCCGCGGGCGCGCCAGGGGAGAGGCCTGGCGCTGAGGGCATTGGCACGGCGGGCGCCCGCCGCGGGGCAAAACAGCTGCGGTGCCCGCGCCAAGCCACCTTGAGCCAAAATGGCTACGGATGATGATGAGGAGGAGGAGGAGGAGGAGGAGGAGGAGGAGGAGGAGGGAGGGGAGAGGAGGGAGGGGAGGGAGAAGGGAGAGTAGTACAATAAAACGATGGTAGAGTCGAAGTTCCTGGCAGTTCCGAATCATGATGGCGGCAGTAGTGATCCAGGAGAGGCAGACGGTGGTCATGGTGATTGTTTCGACGGTGCCGCAGTTGGGAATATGATGGGTACCGCTCGCGTGATGATTAATTTGGAGTCCGCGCGGACCTCCAACAGCCAATGTTTACCATATGCTCCTCGAGAGGCAGCCTCGGCTTGGCGTCGGCGTCGGGCAGAGGAGGGCGGGAGGGGCAGGTCGACTTGCGGGAAGCGTCTGCCAGAAGGGGCTTTGCCTCTGGTTTGGCTTGCTCCCCCTCCTTGTTTAGGGAAACGAGCAATGAAGTCAACATAAGAACTCGTAGGTCCGCGCGGATTCCTCGGATCGGCGCTGGACCCCCCTCCCTGGCGCGCGGAGCGCGCCAGGGGCGGCGCCTGAGGCGCCGCCAGGGGTCTCCAGCGCCGATCCGAGAAATCCGCGCGGACCTCCGAGTTTTGATGTGTCTGCCATTGTTCGTCCCCCTACTGTTGCATCGAAGGCATCGATCGGCAGCCCGTGGATCGGGGCCGCGATCAGGTCGCTCGGTTTATCAGGAGGGGAAAAGAACACAGACACAGTGAATCGTCGACTGCCAGGAAAATATTTGAAAATATGGGAAGTGGGGGGGGAAGACGACGACCCAGAAAGTATGGAAAACTATGGGGAATCCTGGGATTCGTGTGTGTTTGTTTGTGTGTCCTTGGGCCCCTTGAGTCAAGGGGGCTTCCGGTTGCCGTGCTCCGGCCGACAGCAGCGCGCCGAGGTTGGAGCACATGCGCATGCGGTGCCTCCAGAAGCACGGCAGCGTCGGGGGCGCCTTCGCCAGCGTCGAGGAGGGGGCGCCCTCGGCGGTCCTCCGCGTCGTCCTCCTTCGCCCCTGCCTCCCCCTCCCCAGACAGGCTCGCGCCGTGACACAACTCCGGGCGGGAGGTGTTCGGCAGGTGTCGGCCCCTGCGAGCCCTCGCCGGGCTTCGGGACCGTCCAAAATCGGCTCAGGACGAAAAACCGGTCCCGGGGAAAGGGTCGGGAGTTCCAGGGACGCCGCATGGACTCGCACGACTGGGTCGCTGTCATTGGCCTCGGTGGGCCCGTCGTCGAGCTGGCTGTTTGCGGGCTTTCCAGGAGGTATCCTGGACCTCTTGGGAGGCGTACGGGAGCACGTAGCACAGCGAGACCGACCGACTGATGCATGATAAGTTTGGAGCGGTGTGGCCTCCTTGGGGCCTCCCTGGACTGCCTGGGGGTCTCTCAGTGCCTCCCGAGGGAACATGGACACCTCGTCGGCGTGTCGGAGCCCCTCTGGAGCCGTCTTGAGGGGCACCTCTGGTATCCTGGAGGCGTCACTGGAGGCTGCAAGGAGGGCTCGTTGGACAAGGTTGGTTTCGCTAGACCCGAGGCCCCCCCGGCCCGACCAGAGGCCTCCCAGCTCGACTTGAGGCGCCCCAGCAGCCGTCGAAACCACCCCTCTTTTGAACCAGGACTGCTCGCGGCCCCCGACGTCGGAGGCCGGATCTGGGTTCGCCACGAGACCAGGCGGTGCGGTGAGGAGGCCGCCGCGCCCCCCGCCCCCCCCCCCCCCCCCCCCTCCTCCTCCTCCTCCTCCTCCCTCCTCCTCCTCCTCCTCCTCCTCCTCCTCCTCCTCCACCTCCTTCACCTCCTCCTCCTCCTCCTCCTCCTCCTCCTCCTTCTCCTCCTCCTTCCTCCCTTTAACATGATGTTGAGCTTCCTGGAAGAGGGAGGGGGGGCGCGGCCAAGCATCTGACTCCCCAAAAAAGGGTTTGGCAGCCAGGAGGTTATCCGGATAGAGTGCCAGGTCCACGCGAATGGATGACAATGTTTTCTGATGCGTTCAGCGGGTTGTTGGTATTGACGAAACTATTACTTCGTTGGTGATCCCTGGCCAATTTTGTTTTACCGCTCGCCTTCTCAGCCCTGGCAAGCGTAGGTCGGCGGAAATTCAGAGGACGCGTAATGGGGGTGCGACGAATGGGGGGGGCAGCGAGGGCTGCCGAAAAGGGGCCCTTTAGGGACCGAGAAGACGCGTGTCTCCCCCCCCCCCCCTTTGATCGCCCACCCCCCCATGTATTCGCGCCCAAGGGTTCTTCCCCCTCCCTTGCCACCGAGGACTGGACTCACCCGCTGTCCTTCGACGGCTTCAGGGACGCCGTCCACGAGATGGGGCTGGTCGCCCGCGACCGCGACAAGGTAGACAAGAAGCTCTCGCAGGCACGAGGCGGTGTTCGAACTCCTTGTTGCGGGCCGCTCCCTCCTGCGGGGGTAGAGGGCACCCCTCCGTGGGGGGAGGCGGCGGTGGAGCGGGAGGAGGGGAGGGGATGGAAGGAGAAGAGGCCGGGGAGATGGGCTTCAGGGAGGGAGGTGGTACGGAGGGAGGGGTAGGTTGAGAAAGGCTGAGGGAAAGGAGGGAGACGGGTAGAGTGAGGGGGAAGCGGGGCGAGGGAGGGAGGAACGGAGGAGGGGGGAGGAGGAGGAGGAGGAGGAGGAGGAGGAGGAGGAGGAGGAGGAGAGAGAAGGCAAGAGGGCCAGAGGCCCGAGAGACATGGGGGGGCAGGGGTTGGGGAGGAGCCCGCCAATCCAGACATGCAGTACACAGCATCTCCAGGGTCTACTGCACACCTGTTGGCCGCGTCACCGTTTTGTATGGGGCGGGGATCTGCGGCAGCAGGGTCGTGTCGCCTCGGCGCGTCGGCGACGCCGCCCCCGGCCTGCCAAGCAGGAGCACATCCAAGCAGGGGCTTCGCTGCGAGCCCCGGGGCCCCACGGCTGAAGCGCAAGAGCGATTCCCACGGCGCAGGCTCCTGGGAAAGCTGGCCCGAGAGCCTCTGCGCACCCCCGACGACCCTCAGTCTTCGTGCGAGGCGGAGCGGGAAGGGCTGCGGTGCTTGCGGGCCCTGGAGACGACAGGGCAGCTGTTGCTGCCGGCTCCGTCTTGCCATCCGTTTGCCCGTCCCGGCGCCGTGTTTGTTTCTGGCTCCCTCGCCGTTGGTTTGCCGGTTCCGGTTCCAGCTTCCATTCTGGAGCCGTTTTGTGTCGTTTCTGGTTGCCGTTTTTGTTTCACAGGTTCCAGTTTCAAGAGATTCTTGTATCAGGAAGCGGTGAGAAAACGGCTCTGCCGTTGCTGGGGTCCACTAATTGGTGCGGTGCAGGTTCTCATTTTCTTTGTGTCACCCCTGAGACCACCACCGACCAAACCGCCCCAACCCAGCCCGAAGGCCTCAAGTTGCCCTCCATTTCCAGTGTGGGGGGGTCGGGGAACATTGAACAAAACACATGGAACCCGAAATTCGGGTCAAATTCGGGTCTTCGTGTTGGGTTTGGGTGGTCTGGTAGGTAGTCACGAGGTCTCGGCGATGCAGTTTTGTCTCAACAACGGGCGTTGTCGCCCGGTCTGGGGGCCCAGGACCCCACGCCTCGACCCAGCTCGAAGCATGACTCAGGAGGTTTGGGTCCGGGGCCTCGCCCGTGATGTTTGAATGCTTTTTCGCGTCGTCGGATCTCAGGGACACGCGAAGGCTTACGTCGGGCCTGTCCCTCTACAGGAGGAATATTCCCAAAGAGTCACAAAAACATAGACTGGGGACGATTTCCAATATTTGTTTAATTATGTTTGAGCATGTTTGGGTCTTGGGCTACTTTTTATCTTTCGCCCAAATTCCGCCTGTAGCAGGACACGCCCGACCTAAGCGAAGGCGCGCGGATACCCGCGCTTCGCGCGTCGCGGTCTGGGCCTCGCGGTTGGATTCCCAGATCCCAACCTACGTCAAGCGCCTTCCTACCTAACGAATCGACATGCTTTTGCTGTGTTTTGTGATTATCTGGGAGGACCTGGACCCAATCTACTATATCCGCCTTCCTACTTCATGTTACTACCTACTTCTTCCGACCGACGTGTACCTTGTCGTCTCCCCCGACTACCCCATGCCCTCTCCGCAGGTGGGGAGGCAAAGAGCAGGAACTGTCGTCAGACGTGACTAGGAAGAGGATACATCCGCTCTGAAGCGTTCCAGAACTCTTTCACAGTTTTCCGGGACGCTCTGAGAAGGCCGCGGCGCCCGAGGCATTTTCCAGAGCCAGATTGAAGAGATTCTCGATTTGTCCTCGCACGATCTTGTCCTCGTCCTGGCTTCGTCTTGGGGAGAAGGTGGGAGGAGGAGGTCGCCGCCCCGCCTCTGACCCTCCGTTGGAGAGGTCCGCCAGCTCGCGGTCTCCCTCGGCGCGGATGCCTCCGTGACGTCGGCCTCCTTCGAGGCCGCGTGGGGCGTTCCAGAAAAGGCCTCGCCTTCGAGGATCGGGCGGCGAGTAATGGGGGTGCGATAAGTGAAGAAAAGTACCCATCGGTCGCTGAAAGTCGGTATTTGTGGATGTCCAGATTCCAAATCTACTTTCAGCGCCTTCCTACTTCAATGATCGAGTGGCTTCAACTGTTCTGTCCTCTTTAAAGGGCGGGCGGACACCCAATCTACTTTCAACGCCTTCGTGCTTCATGTTTCTACCTACGTATTCCGACCGATGGGTACACCTTCTGTGCCCGAAAGGGGCCCCCTGTGGCCCAAAATGGGCACGAAAGGTGCATGCACGCGTCTCGCCCCCCATCGATCGCACCCCCATGAATTGACGCCCTGGAGGATCAACGAAGTTGTTCAGTAGCAAGCCGCGGTGGCGTAATATACCCTCGCAGCGCCATCCCCAGAGTTCACGGGCACTAGCGTCGATTAGCGTTTGGCAGTCGGTGAGATAGCGCCTATTTAGCCTCAATTGGCGCCGATTCAGAGTCGATTCGGGTCTGTTCGCAACAGAGCCAGCCATATGGTATGGGAGGCTCCCACGAATTGACAATGAGGGGTTGGAATCTCTTCCTCGGCGGAAGTCGGCGGAAGCAAAGCGGGAGCGGCTCCGCCGGCGGAAGGTCGGCATGAATGTCGGCGGAAGCCGGCGGAAGGGCGGCGGAAGCCGGCCGAAGTAGAAGATTAGAGGATGCGCCCCGAAGATCGACTAGGCGTAAGAGTGACCTCGCGCCGGAGTGAAATTTGGTGCTGGCACAGATGGGTCCCCAGATGGCCGAAAAGGAGGCAGTAGCAGCGGCTTGCGCGCTTGCTTTTGGCCCCCCCGCGGTCCCAAAAAGCCGCGCACCAAAGGTCACTCTTACCCAGGGTCACTCTTGCGTGTAGCCGAGACGAGATGGCCAGCTTTCTGTTAGGTCAGGGTTTCCAGAACTGGCCGCATGGGCCACAGGGCTACGGCCAGGAATGTTGGCTCGTGTTTTGGGGCGGGGTCCCAGGTTCGAGGTTCGCCGTGGGCGAAAAACATATCCGTGTCCGCGGCCTCGCGGACTGGGACCCTTGGCCGCGACCCCGCGGATACGGGGAGTGTTTTCGTGGAGGCCCCGCGCGGAATGTATCCATACGACCGCGTGTGCGCGGGATCACTCCCCTGAGTCTGGACCGCGAAAGCGCGGATGAGGATACTTCCGCCGCTCGTGAGTTCGTGGTTTTCGGGTGTTCGTAGTGTGTTCTCGGCGGTTTTCTACCCTCGTGCTGCGCTCAGCAGCTGCGCCTTGCCGAGGACGTTCCGGGGGTGCCCGGATTGCCCCGAACGGCCGCCAGGAACATCGGATACGACGAGGAACGTCTGCTTGGCGTGTCGCGCCGCTGGTTCTGGCCCACCTCGGCCACGCGCAGAGGGGGCAGGGGGAGGGGGGAAGGCAGGAGTCGGGCCTGACGAAGTCAAGCAGTGGCGGAGCGTCTTGGCTCCCCTATAGCCCCACCAAACAAGGTTCTAGGAACCTTTTGTGTGGTTTCCACGACAGGTTCTCAGAACATTTCTGGCTGGGACCGTCCTGTTTTAACACATCGGGCTTATGTTCTAAGAACATTGTTTTTGTTCTTAGAACATTTTGGGTTCTGAGAACATGTCGTGGTAGGGCTATAGGAATGCCGGAACGGTCGGTCCCTGCTCAACGAAAGGTGGGGATTGGGAAAGGTGGGGTTACGAAATTTGCTGCATGCAGCTGGTTTCGGCCCCGCTGAGGGGCCCATTCCTCGATACATCATAGTCCCCTCCGGCGCCGGGAGGCGCCGGAAAAATCAGGTATACGCGAGCTGATTCTCAAACCCCCCATTTGTTATCCCCTCCTTTCGCCCGACCCGAAGGAGGCACGGGGCTCAAAGGTAGCCGGGAGGCCCCAAACGGTGCGGTTGCCACACCGTGAGGTGGGTCAGTGGCGATAGTTTTTTCTTCACTGTTTTGCCGATCGGCGCGGGCCCCCTCCCCCCCTCCCCATGGAGTAGATCTTGGCTGTTTTCTGGCGCCTGTTACGAGCAGGTAGAGACCTCCCCCATGGGACGCACTGCTGCAACGAGTCGCAATAAGCAGGTCCAGAGCCAGACCACCCCCCTCCCCTCCCCTTCCCCCCCCCTCCGCCCCAACGCCGAAACGCCGAATAAGAAAACGCTCACGTGGGGATTCGAAGTGACCGCACGGTTTTGGGACCTGGTTCTTTCTCCGAGGACGTCTTGGGCGATTGGCGCCTCGAAGGCCCCAGAAGCGAGTGGTCACGGATCGTGCGGTGAGGTCTTGGGCGTTTCCCAGGCCGCCGCCCGATCTGTCACCGCCCCGTTTTGGGACCCCCAGGGTATACACCACCACCACCTCCCTCATGCCCTCCCTCTCCCAGGAGAGGAGAGAAAGACGAGGGTGGAGGAGGGAGGAGGAAGCGACGTAGTGGTGGTGGTGGTGGTGGTGGTGGTGGTGGTGGTGGTGGTGGTGGTGGTGGTGGTGGTGGTGGTGGTGGTGGTGGTGGTGGTGGTGGTGGTGGGGTGGTGGTGGTGGTGGTGGTGGTGGTGGTGGTGGTGGTGGTGGTGGTGGTGGTGGTGGTGGTGGTGGTGGTGGTGTGGTGGTGGTGGTGGTGGTGGTGGTGGTGGTGGTGGTGGTGGTGGTGGTGGTGGTGGTGGTGGTGGTGGTGGTGGTGGTGGTGGTGGTGGTGGTGTGTTCTTGGGGCCCGCAGGAGGGCGCTTGCCCAGGCAGAAGTCGGGAGCGGCCAAGAGGGGCGTGCTGGGGCCATGTGATCTCCCCCGATGTCACGCACACCTCCGCTGGTTCCTCCTCGTCCGCGCCTATGCCTCGGGCCATGGTTTGCTAGCCCCTCCTGGGACGCCCCCGACAAGGGACCGGCCCTCTCAGAGGGCGGCGGGGCTTCAGAAGCATTCCTTGCACCCGAGAATCTGGGCCTCGGTGGCATTGTCGAACCGTGAAACTGCAACCTCACCGCTAGCGTTAAGTCGGGCACGCCCCCTTACAGGAGGAGTATTCAAAAATAGTTGAAACAACAAATAGTATGGGGACGATTGTTCTACTGTGTTTGATTACGTGTTGATTATCCGTAAGGGCTTCGCCCCCTGCCGCCGGCCCCCTCTCTATCATAATGGGATACATCAGAGCTTTATTGGGATGTTCGGGCGCCGTCTTGATGACACTCGGGAACGTCATGCTAGGGCGGCTGGCGATGAGCAAAACATATTGAGATGTTGAAGTTGTTGTTGAACGCTTTGTTGCCTTCTTGGCATTTTCCTCCAGTTGTTCACTGGAAGCGCTCTGGGAACGGCTGGGGATTGCTTCAGGCAATCTCTGGGAAGTTTTTTTTTCTGCTCTGGAGAAGGAGTGGCGCCTTTGGGCAGCTTCCGCGAGGTGGATTCGTAGCATGGGGTGTGCGCGCGCGAATTTGGTGTAATTTACAAGGGATCGTTGCCTCGGTGGCGCGAATGTAGCGTAATTCACGCGGGATCGTGGCCTCGGGGGTGCAAATGTGGCGTAACTTACGAGGGATCGTCGCCTGGGGTGGTGAATGTGGAACCCACCATCGAATTTTCCAAAAACGAGAAGGGGGGGGCCTCGGAAGCGCGCCCGCTGCGCGTAATTTACGGGGGATCGTGGCGTCAGGGGCGCGAATTTGTTGTAATTTACTAAGAATCGTGGCCTCGGGGGCGCGAAAATTAAGTAAATTACATGGGATCGTGGCTTCGGGGGCGCGAATGTTGTGTAAATTGCGAGGGACCGTGGCCTCGAGGGCGCGAACGTGGAGTAATTTACAAAGGATCGTTGCCTCGGAGACGCAAATGCGGTGTAAATTACAAGGGATCGTGGTCTCGGAGACGCGAACGTTGTGTAATTTACAGGGGATCGTAGCCTCGGGGGCGCGAATACAGTGTAATTTGCTACTCCAGATTTCGTAATAAAAGGGAGGGGGTCTCAACCCTCCCAGACGAGAAGTTTTAGACCCCCCCCGTTGGAGAACCCTCCGAAACATCGTCCCCAGACCCCCCCAGGCCCTCCAAGATAGCCTGGAAGAGACCCCCCCCGAAATGAGACCCCCCTCCCTTCATTACGAAATCCGGAGTAGGGATTCTGGTTTCGGGGGCACGAAACTTCTGTATTTTTAGGCGGCCCACGCCCCCCCAGAAGTTCTGAGAACCCTCCCGGGGGACGCCAACCAGGGCCCTTTTCGGCTCCCCCCCCCTCGCGCGGACAGTAACAATTTACAGTAGGAAACAGAAAGCAGTACTGTAACAATGGAAACTGGAAGCTGGAACTGGCGCAGGGAGCAGCAACCTTAATCCTCGCAGCCTGATGGCCCCGCAAGGGGGCCGGCGGATCTTTGGACTGTGTTTCATCATTCTTCGAAAAAATTCCACTTGTCGGAGGACGTGCCCGACCTAACGCCAGCGGTGACACCGTGAGGGCTGCAGCCTCACCACGAAGGCCAGCGCGCCGCGCTCCCGCCGCAGTGCGGCGCGGGCTGTGCTGGGATTCCCTGCGCAGCCCTCCGGTAGTGACGGACCGCTCCTTCGCTGCGTTCCCCCTTCAGGGCGCGCCGCCGATCTCCCACCCCCAGGGCTTGTTTCTTGGATCGCCGCGGGGGGTGCTAAGAGGATAGGGGGGATTACAAGTGCCAGCCTAACCCAGCTTAGAAGTGGGTTGCACGTGCCCTAAGTGGCCTAAGGGCGCACAGATCTGGGCTAAGTGGGCGGAGCCCACTTCGCGGAGTTACCTCATCATCTCAAGCCACATAGAGCACTTGTAACCCACCTACCGGCCGAGTCCAGCCAGGTAAAGCCCACTTTATTATCCACTTCTAACCTCTCCATCCCCTTAGCAACCACCCCGGCGATCAGAGTGATGTGTTGTTGCTCTTGTGTGAGCCTCCGGGCAGCTCCGGGGGATGCTGGATCCTGGAACTTCCAGAGACCTCCTCCCAGGCATGATCGCGTCGTAAAAAAAGGACGGCACGTTTTGTAGCATTTTCGGCCCTGCCGGGTCCCAGGACCGTCAAAGAACGACTCAGGATGAAAAACCGGCCCCGGGGAATGGTTTTGGACTTCCGGGGACGCCGTCCTGAAAAAATCAGGACGTCGCATCTTTGGGTTTGTAGACTTCTTCGAGGCGATCGGACAGAAGCTGGAGAACATCTTCGAGCTGCTGGACACCAGGACAGTGGGAGGACGGGGAAGGTGGGAGGAGGAGGAGGAGAAGGAGGAGGAGGAGGAGGAGGAAGAGAAGGAGGAGGAGGCGGAGCAGGAGCAGGAGCAGGAGCAGGAGCAGGAGGAAGAGGAAACAGGGAAGTTCGATGAGGGGTGAGGAGGAAGATGATGAAAGAACAGGAAGCGGTGGACGTGAGTACGTGGATCTGTGGACGAATCACATAATCACATTTCTTGTTCGGCCAAGCTGTCGCCTGTCCCAGGACGGTTGGACATGTCATGCCCCACGTGTCGCCGCACGGGCATAAGCGTACCACCTCGCAGCGGATCAGAGTGAGAAGGCGGGCGCGGGGTTGGTCGCGGATGGGTCGCGGGGTGTTTCGCGGGTTGGGTCGCGCATGGGTTGCGCGGTGAGTCGTTGGGTGGGTCGCGGGCGGGTCGGGGCGAAGACGATAACGACGACGACGACAACAACAGCAACAACGACAACAAGAAGTTTTCCCGAATGCTTTGCGATTCGATCTGCTGCATGCGTCCATCATGATACATCCCCCATCATGTCCTCATGGGGGATATTTTCTTGCACGGGGGGGTCCGATAGTCCCTCACCCAGATTTCCCGCCCGAGGAGGTCTTGATAACATCTCATCCGAGGCATTTCAACATCTCCAGTCCGGAGGGCACATCGCCTTCGCAATCGCCTTGCCCACGCCTTGCTTCCAGGTGTCACCACACCCGGGTGGCCAAACATTTTTGAGAGAGGCCCACTAACATGCTGGGAGAGCCCCTGGAGCTTTGTGGACAGCTTCTGGGAAGCCCTTCTGGAAAGCCCGCGGAACCTTTTCAGCGAAGCTTCGCGACCCCTGCGGGGAACATGTGGGCCCGTGAGCGTTCCGGGGGGCGGCCTTCTTCGCCAGATTCACCGCCTTCTTCGCCAGATTCGCGCGTGTTGGCCGGATCCGGCCGGGGCCAGGGCGAGGATGGATCCGTTCTGGATCGCTCCCGAGGCATTCCGGAACGCCCTGGGAAGGCCGCGGCGCCCGAGACATCTTCCGATAGTCTCGGTTCATCATCAACCGAATGTTTGTTCGGCCTGGCTCCGCCTCACGAGTGCGCGCCTCGCCTCCGAAGAACATGGGAGCAGGAATCGCACCACCATTACCACCTGGGCGATGAGCTGGTGTGCGGGATGCGGGTTCGCACGCCCCTGACCACCCTCTGCGTCCATCCTCCAGGTGGTGGTGGTAGTGATGGTGGTGGTGGTGGTGGGTGTAGTTGTGGTTGTGGTGGTGGTGACGCGTTTTTCCTTCCTGGTGAAGGTCGGCCGCAAGGGCTCCACCGACCATCCGCCGAGCCGCAGCGGGTGTTGGCCGCCTCTCTGGTTTGCTCCAGGAGCGCCTGGTCGACCCGCCCCTCGGAGCCCGGAGGCGCGCCCTCTGCTCCTTAGGTGGGTCCGTCTCTCGGCCACGCGCAGAGAGAAGGGCATGGGGAAGGGGTTCAGTTTTTTATAATCAATTCTGCTGCTCATGAAAGCGCGTGTAGATGTAAGGCCCGCGCCTTCTAATAAGCAGGGTGCTGTTAAGAAACCTCCCCTCCCCCTCCTACCCCCTTTTTGCGCGCCGATCATCCTTCTGGAGGAGGAACAGGGAGAGGATGAGGAGGAAGAGGAGGAGGAGGAGGAGGAAAAGGAGGAGGAGGAGGAGGACTCCGAAACCATTGCGGCCCAAGTGCGAAACTGTCGCCCTGCGGCTTCGTATTTACCTGCAGCCGAAGGGTTGGCTCGAGGCGAGCCAGCCTGCAGCAGACCGTTCTTTCTGCACGCGCGATCCCCTCAGGTAGTTGCGCTGGCCCCGACTCATTCAACACATGGCGTAGGTACGAGATTAGTCCTCGCACAATGGTGCGAAGAAGGGCAAGGGCAAGGGCACCGATAATACGACAGGTAAAAAGTCCCAGTCGAAGCAGGAGGCGCCGCAGTCACCGCCTCCAAGCCAGAATTGGGCATGTACGAAGTGCCAAACGGACAACCACTTCAGGTTGAGCGACTGCAGGATGTGTGGTGCTCATTGGCAGCAGTTGCTCAGAAAAGTCGCCCCCGCCGCCCGAATATGAGAAGGTACAAGGGGGGCGGCACCCTCTCCGCCTTGGAGCACATTGACCCATCAGGGGCCCCAGATCACGGAGTGCCAACAGCTCCTGGACTCTGTATGCAAAACCTCAGACACAGATGGGAGTGCCATCGCCAAGCAGAAGGTCGCAGAGGCCATCGAGCACTTCAGACAGGAGCGAGATACCCAAAAGACGCCAGGTCAGTTGCTTATGCTTTCGAACCAGAAACTCCTGAACGCGCAGTCGGCGATGAGCAAGTAAACCCAGAATACCCACGACATCCACTATCAAATCAAGGCGCTGAAGGAGACCCTCCAGACCAAGAGGGAGAAGATCGAGGAGGAGGGGGCCCCCATAGCAGAGTCCCAGACCACGACCGCAGAGCAGGTCTCGGTCGTTTCGAAGCTTGCGCCAATTCCGACCCCATCGACGACAGCCACAACCCAGCCCCAGGGTTCGATCGAGTCGCCCATGGGGGAGCTCACCACGTTCCAATCACGGCTGTCGGGGATGGAGCAGGAGGCGCTGCCCGGCCCCATGCAGTCGCTGGTGGCCACCATCCAGCAGATCCAGACTGAGGCCTCGACGAAGGCGCCCCCCCCCCCCGAGCCTGGCGCGGCCCCGAGCGCGGCGGCGGAGGCGCCGATTTCGCCGGCGGCCCCGGCCCCGCCGCCAGAAGAGGCGCCCCCAGCCCCCGCCAGGCGCGCCGCCCCAGCGGGCCGCGGCGCTGGCGGCAGCGGCCAGGGCAAGGGTGCCCCAGGCAAGGGGGTCGGGGCAGAGGTCATCGACGGGTCGGGTGGAGATGCGAAGGGCCAAAGTGGTAGCCGCGAGAACGGTGCCACGGGAGCTACGCCGATGGCGAGGTAAGTAGGCACCGCAGGAGACGATGAAGTACCAGTCCAAGTTAAGGGGCCACCTGTTCGTGAGGGGCTCCAAATTTGGATAGTGAACGGCTCGGGCCGGGGCTCGGCCAAGCGCATCACCAAGGAAAGCTCGGCGCGCATCATCCCAGCGCAAGAGCGCGAACTCCAGGGGCGGCAACTTCGAGAAATGCAGGCTTCCCTTCTTCGGTCAGGGCGGCGTTCACGCTGGGGGGGGGGCATGGCGCGGGCAGAAGGACGTCGGCTGCAGTTGCGATTTTGGTTCGAGGCTACTTGGGCGCATGAGAGCCCAGCGGGTCCACAGTCTGGCCGCATAGAGAAACCAACATTTGAGTGCGTTGCAAGCACCTCGGCATGATCTGCATCTACTCCAAACTTCTGGAGGGACAGCGTTGGGCTGAACGGCGAGAATACTGCTATTGCGCAGGCTCTGGGAAGCCATATCCCCCCCGTGGCCTCCCTTTTTATCTCAGACAGCTCCCCCTTCCCAAGAAGTTCAAAGGTAAAGTTATCATTCAAGAGACTCACGTCACATGGACTTCAGGTAACTCGCTGAGGTGCTACGATGGTTTCTCCGTCTCGTCCACCTTGCAGCACCGGGCGCGGAGGCGCGCGCGGCCCGACGTCGCCCAGTGCTTTTGAGGCGCTTGGCAGACCCAGGGAATCAGAAGGTCACGCGTCGTGTCCACAGACAGAAGCCCCCATCTGTTCGTCCTGTAGGACACCGGCCCAGGGCACCAGAGCATGGGTATCTCGTGGGTTCCATAGATGGGACCTTGGAGGACATCGCAGG